ATTTATAGAACATTACACCCAACAGCTGCAGAATATACATTCTTTTCATCAGCACATGGAACATTCTCCAGGCTTGACCATATGTTGAGAGACCAAACAAGCCTAAAGAAATTTTTAAAAATCAAAATCATATCAAGTATCTTATCTAACCACAATGGAATAAAACTAGACACCAATAATAAAAGAAACATTCAAAATTATACAAACATATGGAAACAGCATGCTCCTGAACGAACAATGGGTAAAGAAGGAAATTTACAATGAAATTTTAAAATTTCTTAAAGCAAATGAAAAGAGAAACATAACATGCCAATCAATAGCCAAGGAACACAGAAGTAGTAGTATTAAGGCAAGTTTATAGCAGTAAATGCCTACATTTAGAAAACTGGAAAGATTTTTCAGATAAACAACTTAATGATCTACCTCAAGGAACTAGAAGAGTAAAAATAAACCAAACTCAAAATTAATAGGAAAAGAAAAAGAAAGAAGATCAGAGCAGAAATAAATGAAATTGAGATTAATAAACAATACAAATGATGAAAACAAAAAGTGGATTTTTTGAAAAGATAAACAGAATTGACAAACCATTAGCCAGACTAAGAAAAAGAGAGAGAAGACCCAAATAAATAAAATTGGAAATGAAAAAAGGAGACATCACAATAGATACCATAAAAATACAAAGGATCATTAGAGACTACTATGAACAACTAATTGCCAACAAATTTAAAAATCTAGAGGAAGTGGATAAATTCCTGGACACATACAACCTACCAAGATTAAACCAAGAAGAAACAGAAGACCTGAGCAGACCAATAACAAGTAAGGAAACTGAATAAGTAATAAAAAAATCTCCCAACAAAGTCCAGGACCAGAAGGCTTTACCTCTGAATTCTACCAAACTTTTATAGAAAAATTAATACCAATTCTTCTCAAACCATTTCAAAAAAATTGATGTAGAGGGATTCTTCCTAACTCATTCTATAAGGCCATATAACCATGATACTAAAATCATACAAAGACAACTACAGGCCAGTATCTCTGATGAACATAGATGCAAAAATTCTAAATAAAATATTAGCCAACCAAATCCAACAACATATCAAAAAGATAATGCACCATGATCAAGTGGAATTTATCCCAGGGATGCAAGGATGGTTCAACATATGCAAATCAATAAATGTCACATATCACATCAATAGAATGAAGGACAAAAAAAACCGTATGATCAGCTCAATATATGCAGATAAAGCTTTTGATAAACATCAACATCCCTTCATGAAAACAAACAAAAAAAACTCTTATCAAATTAGGTATAGAAGGAAAGTTCCTCAACATAATAAAGGCCATATATGCCAAACCCACAGCTAACATCTTACTGAATGAGGAAAAGCTGAAATTTTTTTTCTCTAAGAAGTGGAACAAGAGAAGGGTATCCACTCTCGCCACTGTTATTCAACATAATAGTGGGAATCCAGGCCAGAGCAATTAGGCAAGAGCAAGAAACAAAGGGCATCCAAATTGGAAAGGAAGAAGTCATACTGTTCCTGTTTGCAGACAACATGATCTCATATACAGGAAAATCTAAATATTCTACAAAAAAAACTCTTTAGAACTGATTAATGAATTCAGTAAAGTTACAGGATACAAAATTAATTTACAAAATCATCATTTATATACAGAAAAAACAAACTAATTGAAAAAGAAATTGAGAAGGAAATCCCATTTACAATATCCACAAAAAATAAAATACCTAGAAATCAATTTAACCAAGGAGGTAAAAGACCTCTACAAGGAAAACTAAAAGACACTAAAGAAAGAAACTGAGGAGGATACAAACAAATGAAAAAATACAGCTCATGCTCATGGACTGGAAGAATATTGTTAAAATGGCAATACAACCCAAAGTAATCTACAGTTTCAAAGCAATCTATCAAAATACTAATGATATCTTCACAGAAATAGAAAAAACAATACTAAACACTGTATGAAACCACAAATGACCCCAACAGCCAAAGCAATCCTGAGCAAAGAGAACAAAGCTGGAGTTATCACACTACCAGACCTGAAAATATACTCTAAGTCTGTAGTAACCAAAACAGCATGGTATTAGCATAAAAACAGACACACAGACCAATTGAACTGCGTAGATAACCTGGAAATAAATCCATACACTTACAGTTAACTCATTTTTGACAAAGGTGCCAAGAACATACATTGGGAAAGGACAGCCTCTTCAATAAATGGTGCTGGGAAAACTGTATAACCACATGCAGAAGAATGAAACTAGATCTCTAGATCTCATTATACACACATATCAAATAAAAATGGTGTTAAAGTCTTAAATCTAATGATTTAAGAATGATAAAACTACTAGAAGAAAACATTGGGGAAATACTTCAGGACGTTTGTCTGGGAAAAGGTTTTATGAATAAGACCTCGAAACACAGGCAACAAAAGCAAAAATAAACAAATGGGAATATATCAAATTAAAAGCTTCTGTGCAGCAACAGTGATAATTAATAAAATGAAAAGACAACCTATAGAATGAGATAAAATACTTATAAACAACTCACCCAATAGGGGATTAATATCCAGAACATACAAGGAACTGAAATATCGCAACAGAAAAAACAATCCAAAGAAAAAATGGGCAAAGGATCTTAACAGACATTTCTCAAAAGAAGACATACAAATGGTCAACAAATATCTGAAAAAAATGCTCATCACTAATCATCAGGCAAATGTAAATCAAAACCACAATGAGGTATCACCTCACCCTAGGAAGCATAGCTATTATCGAAATAACAAAAAGTAACAAATGCTGATGAGGATACAGAGAAAAGGGAACTCACATGCATTGTTGGTAGGAATGCAAACTAGTACAGCCACTATGGAGAACAGTTTGAAGGTCCCTCAAAAAACTACAAATATGGTCCAACAATCCCACTACTGGGAATTTATCCAAAGGAAAGGAAACCATTATATCAGAGAGACATCTGCACCCCAAGTTTACTGCAGCACTCTTCACAATAGCCAAGATAGGAAATGAACCTAGGTGTCCAATAACAGATGAAGAGATAAAGAAAATGTAGTATATACATACATCATGGAATACTAGTCAGCCATAAAAAAGAATGAAATCCTGTCATTCGCAGCAATATGGATGGAACTGGAGGTCATTATGTCAAGTTAAATAAACTGAGAACAGAAAGTTAAACACCACATATTCTCAGTCATATGTGGAAAGTAAAAATGTTGCTCTCATAGAAGATGTAGGACAGAATGCAAGAAGCTGGGAAAGGTAGGGGGAAGGGGGCGGGGGAATAGGGGGAGATTTGTTAAAGGATACAAAATTACAGCTAGATAGGAAGAATAAGTTGTAGTGTTCTGTTCCATTGTAGGATGACCATAGTTAACAATCATATATTATATACAGGGTGTCCCAACAATCACCATACATAGGGAAAATGAGAAATTGTAGCTAAATATATTTTTTTACAAAATATTTCATTACAAAAGTTTTCTTCATATAGAGACTTTGGGGACACCCTGTAGTTTCAAACAACTAGAAGAAAGATACTGGATGTTCCCAACACAAAGACATGATAAATGTTTGAGAAGATAGATATGCTAATTACCCTGATCTGATCACCATACATTATATGTACTCTAAACATCACTATGTACCCCATGAATATATACAATATTTATCAATTTAAAAAATAAAATATACTCTTCCCTTAACCGAAGAAAAATTAAATAAATTAAACTTCATCAAAATTTAAAACTTTCATACCTCAAAGAATATCATTAAGAAAGTGAAAGACAAACCACTGAATGAGAGAAATATTTTCGAATCATATAAGACTATATCTGGAAAATCATATCTGGAAAGTATCCAGCCAATCTATTCATGTATACATTATATCCATGGCTGGATACTTTCTGGATAGCCCTTGTACATCTGACAAAGGACTTCCATCTAGAATACATAAAGAATTCTTTTACTTAATTTTTTAAAAATCCAATTTAAAAAAATGGTTAAAGGATATGAATAGATATTTCTCCAAAGAAGATATACAAATGTCAATAAGCACATGAAAAGATGCTCAATATTATTAGTCATTAGGGAAATGGAAATCAAAACCACAGTGAGGTAACCACTTCACGCCAGTAAAAATCATAAAAATAATTTAGCAAGTACTGGTGAGGATGTGGAGAAACGAAGTCTCACAAACTGCTGGTAGGAATGTAAAATGGTCCAGCTGGTTTGGAAAACAGTTGGCAGTTCCTTAAAACATTAAACACAGAATTACCGTATGACCCAGCAATTCCCTTCCTAAGTTAACCAGGAGAAATAAAAACATATATCTACACAAAAACTTATACATGAATGTTCATAGCAGCATTATTGAAAACAGCCAAACAGTGGAAACAACCCAAATGTCTACCAACTTGTAAGTAGATAAATTAAATGTTATATCCATATAATAGACTATTACTTACCAATAAAAAGAAATGAAGTACTGACAGGTGCTGCAACATGAATGAACCTTGAAAGTATTATGTTAATTAAAAGAAGTCAGTCACAAAACACCACATATTGTATGATTTCATGCATATGAAATTTCTAGAATAGACAAATTTATTCAGACAATCAATAGATTAGTGGTTGCCTAGGGCTAGAAGAGATTCACGGAAGAGGATCAGGGTATAATGGGTAAAGGGTATGAAGTATCTTTTATGGTTATGAAAATATTCTTAAATTGGATATGGTGATAATTGCACAACTCTGAATTTTACTAAAGGCCACTGAACTGCACACTTTGAAAAGGTGAATTATATCTCAATAAAGCTGTTTTAAAAATATTCTTCTATATAGGAGGAAGAGCTTTCAGTAAATACTAAATAGCAGAACCAAAAGTGTCATCTACACAAATAATTTTAATAACTTTAGCTTATCTTTGGCATTGAATTAGGAAAAATAACAAAATAATTACCCTTTCTACTGAAGATAACTGTTGCTGTAATCCATCACATTTTTTGTTTGCTTCTTCAAAAAGAGTTTTATACTTTTCTATTTGAGACTGTTGCATATTAATTGTTCGCTGCTGTCTCAAACAATCTTCTTCAAAATTTTTTACTTGAGACTTTAAATCCTGAATCTCATCTTCCTATAGTTATAAAATTATAGATTATGTGAAAAAATATACAAGATTTGGTAGCAAAACAGAGCAGAAAACAAAAAGCTTCATATGTTCTTCAATGAGATATTTATATACATTCACATTTTCATCTTCAAAAGTGTAAGTTAGATGATTTATGTGTATTTAATACTTTTACTTGTAAATCTAATATAGAGAATTCTAATTGTAACAAGTATTTACAATTCTTTAGCTCTGTGAAAATTCAACATTTCAGAATAAAGTTCAGCATTTATATAATTTTTCAATTCAAAATTAATTCAAAACTATGAGTTATATCTAAATAAAGCGATTCAAAAAATGTATTTGAAATTGTTCCTAAAATGTCTCTGAATATTAGAGCATTTCTTTTAAAAAACTTACCTTTTTATTACATTCACAAACAACATTATCCAACTCCTCCTGCATAACACGGAGTTTGGCTTTTAGAAATCTGATCTGCGCTTCTGTGGATTTAAATAATTATATTACTGTTTTTTGCTGAATCTAAGAAGTCACTAATTGTAAGACAGACTATTATTTTATGAAGAAAATAAGCACTCAGGATGGCGAGTCAATAAGAGACCCCTGTTAAGGGACACTAAAGACACTAAATACTCCTAACGTAGAGATAAATGAGAAATAAATCCGTACAACAGGAAGAAACAGGCAGGAACTATTCACATCTCAACACTGGAACAAAGTAAAGAAAGAAGTGGGGGGAGACCCTCACCTGAGACTCTGAACCACAAGCCAGTACTCACGTAGGTTTACATACTGAATGCACACTCACAAAGATGGTCCAAAATACATCAAACAGAGAATTTAAAGTGGTCTCAGGTCAGTACTGTCCCCAAGTGTTTGGCAGAAACAAACACAAATCCTCTCCAGCAAAGCTCAATTTCAAACACAGCCATTGTAACTATAAAATACAACTGACTGTAACATGCATCCCAATTTCTGAGAAGTTAAAATGTAGTATATGTGTCTCAGAAGCAAAGAAATATATTAATATTTTACTACTAAAGCTTTCTCACACAAACCCTCATTAAAATCTATCTTTGGTACTTCATTGCTAGCAAAAGTTCTTTATTCAGTAACATCAGCAGTAAATCTTTGATGTTCATAAAGTGAAAACCGAATATAGAACTTATCATTCATTCATTAAAAAATATAAAGTCTCTAGTATGTTCCATAGTAGGAATATTATAAAACAAGGCTTGCCCTATGGAGGTTATCTTGAAGAAACACTCTGAATTGCTCTGAAAAATCATTAGAACAAATGCCACTAAGCCATGCACATGTGATAAGCAGAGTACAAAATATCTCCATACAAACTTCCTGCTTTTCTTTGAAGTGCCCCAGTGTTACATGAAACTGATGAACTATGTGGTTGGCTCTAACCCTACCTAGATCTTTCCAGCCTCAACTCTCCTTCCAGCCTCTCATGTAACTCCAGGTAAGCAGAGGATAGAAAGGAAATGGCAAATTAAAAAGTGTGAGTTTGGCAGTAATTTGCCTCTGAGGGAAAAAAGAAAGAATAGGAGACCATAACTTTCACCATTTCTTTCTCTCCCCAATTTTAATGTCAGTAACTCTACCTCAATTCTAACTCAAAGAGCTGAGTGCTCTCACGTCCAGAGCCCCACAGCACTAACTTCCTCTCCTCACCCTACCCCAGCTTTAATCATACAAAGTGCTCTATGTTCCCAAACTACTTTTTCATCTTTTTCTCTCGCACATAACCTAACTATTCCAAGCAATCATCTGGAATAAGAGAAAATTCTTCTAAAAGGGGAGATACTTAAGCTGGAGATACTAAAAATGGAATACAAGGAGGCAAAGTGACAGAAATGTGATTCAGCAGTAAGAAAAAAGGAGCATTTAAGATAAAGTCTATTTGTCCTGGTTCCTGATATCTGGGAACAGGAACATTATAACAGAGCCATGGGTGACTGTCTACTGAGGAACAGCCAACATCTAACCATTATATCCTTGAAAGCATCTTGAAAGAGATGTAAATGTAACTTCCTGCTTCATTTACCTTTCCTTCCCACAACTAACCTCAGAAAGCTTGAAGGTAATAAATGTACATATAAATTGCTCCCCACTTATGACTAGTATGTGGCACAATAATCATTACACATATAAACTTTATGATTTTTCACAGAATCAGAGAATTAAGATAAACTTTATGATTATCTCATGCAAATTGCAAAATTTTCAAATGAAGAAGCTGCCATTGCAGAGGGGCTAAGTGGCTTGCCCGTAGTCACAACTATTATATATTCATTATATATTATAGTTTTATATTATATATATATATATATATATTTTTTTTTTTTTTTTTTTTTTTTGAGACAGAGTCTCACTTTGTTGCCCGGGCTAGAGTGAGTGCCGTGGCGTCAGCCTAGCTCACAGCAACCTCAACCTCCTGGGCTCGAGTGATCCTTCTGCCTCAGCCTCCCGGGTAGCTGGGACTACAGGCATGTGCCACCATGCCCGGCTAATTTTTTATATATATATCAGTTGGCCAATTAATTTCTTTCTATTTATAGTAGAGACGGGGTCTCGCTCAGGCTGGTCTTGAACTCCTGACCTTGAGCAATCCGCCCGCCTCGGCCTCCCAAGAGCTAGGATTACAGGCGTGAGCCACAGCGCCCGGCCTATATTATATATTTTATATTATATAATATGCTATATTTTATATGTATTTTATATTATATATTTATATTATATATTATAGTATTATAGTTAAGTATTAATTACTTCATATATACTCAATTGTATTAATTTTTGTTTCAACAGCATAGGTGGCTCCTCATAAATTCAACAATTTTAGAGGCATTACTGGTAACTAATAGATGATCTAAATTTAGTAGTATTATTTTTCTAGTGATATGGAGAGAATGAGTTAAGAAAGAAAATTATATTCATTAGAAAAAACCCACTTGATCATTTTACCTGATGCTATATCAATAATTCATTTATCCTTTTACATGTGTTGAAATGCAATAAAGTATATTAATAGTAAATGAAAGGAATTCATAGAAACATTTTCTATGTTAATGTTTTAACAATAAGCTATGGAGCATTTTAATTTTAGTTGTAACATATTCAATGAAACCAGCACAATACAGTGTTTATTTTTACTTTTTGTAATGGAAAATATCAAACATATACAAAAGTAAAGAGACTATTTCAATGAACCTCCCACTTACCCACCATCAATCATTACTGACTCATGGCCAATTTCATTTCATCCATAATCCCACTCATGTATTACTAGATTATTCTGTTTTATAATAGTAAGACACCACCACGTCTTACTAGACTATTCTGAAACAAACCCAAGACATCACAATATATTTTTTTAAATGCAAGAAATAGTTTCAAGGTCTCTTTTTCTAAGTAATTGTGATGTAAAGATAAAACTAACAAGCAAAAGAAAACCTACCTGTTCCAATGTCATTACTAACCCCAGAGAAAATTTCATCATCTATATATTCAGGTAAGCCTTCTTCCTCCAGTTGCCCTTCAATTTTGCTTATTGTTTTTGCAAGAGAAAAGTCTGATAAATCCTCTGGAATGGCAACATCATTAGCAGTTTCTACATCAGAGTATTTTGATTTAACACTAAAAAATAAAGATTAAATATTATATATATGTATATACAAATATAAACAAAATAGAAAGGCAGAAAGGAGATACGGCTTTTACCCAAATAACAAAAGCAGATCAAAATTATTTTAAGTTTAGATTTATGATGATATCTACAATTGATACTTTCAAGGACTATATTATGAGACTATTATAAATTTTAAATTTATGATGAAATGTAATTGATATTTTCAAGGGTTACAAGAGCCTTAATAGACTTCCAGTCTTTATGAATCACACAACCACAGGCTTTATGAAGCCAGGAGGTCTACACCTTGCCTCCAAATAAGTGATACCAAAACTAAGAGTACTGAACTTGGCCTTCTAGGTCAAATCCATCCTGTAGCTTTTAATTTTACATGCCTCTGGAGAACTGTACAAATTGACCATAATTCTACAAATATCAAAGAATAATACCTTTGGGAAAGAATTATATAGTGAATAGTTATTAGCTCAATCAAACTCAACATTTTTTTTTCCACTTAAAGAAATAAATTCTAACCAGCCTGAGCAAAGGAGAGAACCCATCTCTACCAAAACCAGAAAAAATTAGCCAGGTATGGTGCCAGCTACTTGGGAGGCTGAGGAAGGAGATCTACTTGAGCCCAGGAGTTTGAGGTTGCTGTGAGCTATGATGATGGCACTGCACTCTAGCCTGGGTGACAGAGCAAAACTCTGTCTCAAAAAAAAAAAAAAAAAAATGCTAAGCAGGATCAAAGTTAACCAAAAAGTTAGATTTGATTTTTTTTAACGAAGTAGGGGAAGAAATATGAAATAAAACTCAATCCTAAAGGCACTTAGGAATGTGCCAAGCCTAACCCATCAATAAGTTTATGGTTCTGAAAGCCAAACTTATATTTAAACATAAGCAAAGGCTTCAGAATTCTGTTTGGGAAAACAACCTTTTCTTTAAAAAGAAAATTTGAAGTCTAAAAACAAGATAACCCTTTCCAGTTATATACATATGTACATTATGTATACAGCATATGTTCTTCTTTCTTCTCTTCAATCTATATTTTCCTTATCCCTTTATTCTTTTTTCTTCCTTTTATTAAACAAAAGTTATTTAAACAATTAAAAGACAAGAATGTACAAAGATTTTTCAATCTTTGTTATTATACAATTATAATGCAATTACCAGTTTGGGTAAGTAACAGACATATAAATTTAATAACTTAATTGAGACTAAGAAGCTGGTCAGTGCAATATAATCAATCCTCCTTTTCTAGAAAGCCTCCTATCCTAGAGAGCCTCTTGGGTCCACTTTTATGCTTATAATACTAAGGACAGTCTCGAATTCTTTCCTACCAAAAACAACAGAATGTGAATTATAACATAATCCTATTTAGAGCATGGCAAACCATTCTATAGTTCAATATACACAAAAATGTATGGCACTCTGTTAAACACTCCAGAAGACTATTTAGCCTTCTAGTTTTTGAGTATCTAACAGAAAGCTTAATAATTAAGAAGGATAGTACTATGAATTATAAAACTAAAAAAAAAATGAAATATTTTTAAAACTATACTATACCTTGAATTTGGTTTCATTCCTTTATTTGCAGATTGTAGTTTGTTTTGAACCTTGTTTATTGAACCAATGTTTTTGGTCTTTGGCTACATGAAAATAATTAAAACTATTGATTAGAATCTGATCACTTGCCAAGGAAAGGAGTTTTGTTAACACCCAGAAACTGCTATTTTGCTACACAGAAGATTTGCTATTTTCATGGAATTACCCAAATTGTAATGTCAGGAATCCCAGAACTATATAGCTGGAAAAGGCCTAGATATCAGCAGGACCAAGACATTAGAGGATAAAGAAAATGAGTCCCAAAAATGAATCTTGAATATCAAAGATATTCAGTTAGCCAGTGGAATGTTAAATGTGGATGATCTGACTGACAGAATTCAATTCTCCTCACTAACCAATTATTCTCCAGGCAGGCCTTCCCGGGCCTTCAGTTATATAGTTCCCTTGACTTATACCTCTATGCGTGGGAAACTTATAGAAGCCAGTATGACCAGCACCTGGAAGAGTGATTTCTGTACAATATAAATATTTAAATGAATGAACCAACCTTTCAAATCACCTTCTTTGTATGAGTACCTTTCTTTTTCAGGTCTTCTTTTTACTAGATTTAAGCTTCAGAGAGAAAACTGAAAAACCTCAGGTTACAAACTCATTTCCCTTAGAATTCTTCCACTGTATCTCCAAATTGTTCAGTGAAATTATGAGACAAAAAAGGATTCAATTTATTTTATAAGCAACATTTCAGGAATGCATCCCTTCTGAGTATCAAGGTTTATATTCTATTTCTATTGAGTCATACCTCCTGTGTCTTTTGTCTAAGAAAAAGTCTAAAAAATAGCCTAAATTCTACAGAATGTAATAGCATTCACAGAAAGTTTGATTTCATACCTTAGTTTCTAAATGAAGATGAGCTGTGCCTTCAGATGATAACAGACCTCTACAGACCAAAAACAAACATTATACATTAATAGTAGATAGCACTAAGTTGAGATAATGAAATTCAACAGTAATTATATTTGAAAGGGAAAATACACAACCATCAAGATGACTATACTATAATTCTAGTTATCTACAAATTCATTTATTTTGAATGAGTATAATTAACAAGAAAAGTGCTTTGGTTAAATAATTCACCTTTGAGAAGATACACTATAATGCCAATATGTTTGTGGGAAAATGTAGCAAAAATATCAATGAATGGAAATCATAAGGAGTGATTATCAGCTATACACAGCAATTATCCATTTTACAAATGATTCACCACAGGGCTTTTTATGGTGAACACACTCAATGTTGTCATTCTTCTAATGTATAAACATACTTGGTCAGTGTCCATTTTCACCATTACACTGTCAACTCTGTAAGGGTAGAAATCATATCTGCTTTGTCAATTGCTCTATGACTAGTGCTTAGAATAGGACTTGACACATAAGCTCTTAAATTGGCACTAAGTATTTGTTGAATGAATGAATACATCTAACATGCAATTCATTACTATATACAATGTTTTCAAAATATGTTTGCAGCTTAAAACAAGGAGTATATTGGGGTGTGCAAATGAAAGGTGCAGAAAAGGTACTGAGGAAATGGTAAACAATTTAAAATGAGGGAGATTAAAGAGGACACTTAAAGTGTGTAACATTTGGAAACAGTTTCATGTCATAATGTGAGAGTGATTCTTTAGTCTTTGTAATTTTAAGATATTTTGAAAGCCTTTTTTTCCTTCCAGAGGTATTTCTAGTAGTTCTTTAAATGGTTGTACTTAATATTATCTAAGTTTAGTCCACTCTTAAAGTTTCTTTGCTTATATAACTCTCAAAAACTAGTGATTTCCTTACCTATTTAATTTCGGTAAGTTCTCAGTGCCATTACCACACCCACAGTTCTTTCAAAACTGTAATTCTTTACTATATTTTCTTACCTTACCTTGACTCTCTCTCTCTCTCAATTTAAAAATTGGTTACTTTGAAGTTGTCAAGCTTCTAACGAGAGACTGTACCTTTAGTTGGATATTTGCCCTGGGACATTTTATCCAACTGAAAAGTTTACTATGTGCCATTTAATCTGATCCTTGCCCTAAGGAATCTTAATCCACTGGAAAGATTTATCAATATGTGAAAGCCACATATTTAGTCTGATCTTTGCCTTAAGGTTGAGTTTTAATAGGCTTTTGTTCCTCAAAGATTTTCTCAATTTTATCTTGTAATTCTTGAAGTCTAAAAGCAGCTGATTCTATAATTCTACCATCAAGACAGTGTAGTATTGGCATAAGGATAGCTATATAGATCAACGGAATAGAAATGAGAGTTCGAAAATAAAACCATGTCTATGGTCAACTGATTTTTGACAAGAGTACCAAGACAACTGGATATCCATGTGCAAATGAATGGAGGGTTGATCCTTAACTCATACTATGTACAAAAATGAACTCAAAACAGATCAAAGACCTGAATGCAAGAGTTAAGACTACACAGGTCTTCTAAGAAATCATAGGTGTAAGTCTTCATGACTTTGAAATAGATAATTAGGTATTCCCTTTTATTAATACCTGCAAACCAGCCAATTCTTTCCCAAACTTGTCTTTTTAATGGCATGTACTGCTAATATTCTGTGTTCCAACCTCCCTCTTCCCCTAGACTGGAGTACAAGTTCTTTAGATGCTTGTTCTGCCTCTCAATTTACCACAGATGACAATTTCACCAAATTCATTGCCACTACATAACATTAATCCTCTATCTTTTCAGCCACCATTATCAGTTTCCTTTTTGGCTACCATCTGCTAGGCTAAAGTCACACTTTTAAGTTTTTGCTATGCAGCATTCCATTCTTAATACCGATTTCTATGACAGCCTAGGATATTAACCCCCAAATCTCAGTGGCTTAACACAGTCAACATGGCACCAGAGAGGGGGAGAGAGCTCTTTTTTGTACTTATTTCACATGGTCACCCAGAGACCAAGCTGGGAGGTTTTATACCAATTGGAATTTCACTGATATTCATGGCAGGGAAAGTCAACTGGAGGTTCACACACCAACTCTTGCCTGTTTTGGGTTGGAAGAGATTAATTGGGATTTTGTTCATAGCCTATTGACAACTGCAAGAGACTTAGAATGTTTGGTGATCAACATTGTCGCTGGTACAGTAAGATTTGACAGTTTTATTCACATCGATTCTATACTTTTCATGTATCCTCTCTAAAGTTTTTTAAATGAGGACAATAATATTTCAAAATAATATTTTGAGAATTACATGAGATAAAGTGGGTAAAGCGCTTGCATTGTGTCTGACTGGTATAAGCCCCCAATTATTATTTTATACACTAAATTATCCTTCAAATAATAGATTTTCAACATCTGCACACAAAAAGATTTTATATAGTAAAAGATCCACATACATCATTAGAAAAAATCAATTATATTTGAGAATTCAAGTCACTGACCTTAAGTTGTAATCATCTTCCTCTTCGTATGATTTAATTTGTGTGGAAATAGGCCTAGATCGTACTTCTTGCTGATCTCTCTAGTTAAATGAGTAAAGATAAGTCATAATATAACATAGAAAAAACTCAAAAAGTCAAGATATATTCAAGTGCCTCTCTGATCATTAATCATGTCAGAGTTGTCCACAGTATCTATGATACCAAAGCAGAGAATTCTGAATGCCATGGTATAAAAATAGGTCCATAGTATTACAGTTTCACCTTTCACTTGTTTTGACTTAAGAAAGTCAATCCTAAGGGAAAACTGTAGTAGTGCCAAGGCCTTTATATAATATTTCCAACTCCTGCTTCCCCCCTACCTTAGAGTCTTCCATCCTTGTAGCATGCCATGGAAATTAGAAAGAGGCATAAGAAATGAAAAAATAAATCTGTTTAATGAATAGAAAAACTTGTCTCAAATCAGGTAAAATTTCAGTGTCAAGAAGACCAAGAAGATGCTAAACATGAAGTATCAAGAGTAAAAGCTTTCAACAAAGATATATCAAGAAATGATAGTAAACAAAAATTCAATAAGGCAAAAGTTACATTCAATTAGCTTCTGCAGAGGTGGGAATGCCCCTTTCCCAGTTTTCTACTCTGTTCTTTTTTGGTGGGGAAAAAGGTGTTTTTAGGGGATTCTTTGAGCAGAATACATAATAGATCTCTCATTCTACTATAATGTGGGATCCTTTGTACAAGTATTTTCCTGCCTTTTAGACACTGCCAAAAACTAAAAGATAGAATAAAAATATTTTTAGTAAAATATTTAACTACAAATGCAACTGGCACATCTGTAACCATTATCTTATTATTTGAAAGGTTATATATGATACATTTCTTATCCATAAACTAACATAATTATGGATTTGTGTAAGGCATTAAAATATTGCTTAGATTTCCTTCCCTGCCTCTATGAATTCCATTTTTGGGGGTAAGGAAGATTGAAAGGAAAAATTATAATTAAATTACGGTAAAAACTAGAAACAGTTTGAAAGCAGACTCTTTTTTGCAATGAATCTCCAAGGAGTGAAAAAAAGAAAAAAATAATAAGTAAAAAAAAAAAAGAAAGACTATTCCTCTAAGGAAGGCTACTCTAGCCCATCAATTGATAATGGAAATACTGATGCTTAAGAGGGGATGCTTAAAGTAGGAACATCCAATTCGGTACTAAAATGCAGAATGATATGCTTTGATATATCATCTGGTAATAAAACCTCACTACATTTTTCCTGACTATAAATATGATTTTAGTGTAGCTTTAAGAATTTAAGTAAAATCCAACTGTAGTTTAAAAAATAAATTATCTGAATATTAATGATGATTGTTATCTTTTATTCAAAACCATATATAAATACTATACCTATGTACATATATTCATGTTCAATTTGTGATAATTCATGGAGCTGAACACTTATGCATTGGATCCTTTTTGTATATATGTCATAAATCAAATTAAAAAGTTAGCACTTACATGAAATTTTTAATAATAATACAGTAACTTACTATTACTTCATCAGCTTGTCGAACCAGGTCAGCTGTTTTTGCTTCCAATTCTGCATTTAAACGCCTAAACACAGAAATTAAGTTAATAATTGGGATATACTGAAGACCCTAACAAAAATTAAAAAATTAAACTTCAGCAATTACACTTTAGCAAGTGACATAATCAACAAATTCCAAAACATACACATGACATTCTTACTCTAAAATGAACAGAATCATTGGAACTTATCCCCAACTCCCCATAATTCTTCCTTCCTTGTGGTAGGAACTCAGACACTAAGTACTAGCCTTTCTGTGGCCCTTTACTCACTGCAGGTGAAGTGACTAATAAATTTAAGAAGAATAGCTACGTGAGTTCAACTCTGTTCCACTAGTTGTCTTCTTGGAATTAGCCTACCTACAAAGAATATCAGTTCTAACCTTTCCTTCTCCAGAGATAGCTCCTGCTCTAACTGAGGGCAGAAGGGGGCAGGGAAGGGAGGAGACCTGTGATTGAGGAGCCTAATCTGGGGTTTGGTGACAGCCACAATGTGGCTCACACCTCAGCTACACACTTCAATATCAGCTTCATCAGAAATAAAGGTGACTATTTTGACTAACACCTGTCACTCCTTTTTTTAAATTATTGTTGTTCATCCTCTTTGGAATCTAGCAAACAATGGGAATACTATTTACTTGGTCCCATCAAGACTGCAAGAATGACAGTATCACTGAAGGTAATTGTTTTTGAAGGAAAAATTGCTCACAATCCTATCACCATCATCCAACAATTTTTATTTTAATATTCCCTTCCAATTTTCATCTATAGCATATACACAATTTTGTACTGTTTTCCCACAGCAATACAGAAGGAATATGTTTATCTTCACATCTTTATAATTAGCAGCTTAAATAGCTACAGAATATTCTAATGAATTACAGTTAACATAATGTACTGAACTCCATCATTATTGTTAGTTCAAGTCCCCTTTTCAGTGTCAAAGGTTAACACTATCATAAACATCTTCAAAAGCATATACCTTTTTTCTCCAATTGAAATCTCACATTTCTAGGCTATCTATTAATAGGATCTTTTGAAGTTATATTAAGAAAATATGTTGAGGAATTTAAAAAATGAGATCTTGTTTTTCTTAGTTATGTGATTCAGAAGTAACACAAACCATTTACAATCCCCAACCCCAGGAAAAAATAGGAGCAGTATCATATCCTTTCTTAAAACAGTCTTAATATTTTAATTTTAGGATTAGTTGGTCAAAAGAAAAATGTTTAAGAGAGACCTAAAGTTGCACTTGTAGATGCCATTACCTGATTTTTCAAATTTCCCTAACAAGAATCATGAGGGCTTAAATAGAAGTTTCCAATCAATACAGTAGGCTCAGATGACTGAGAAGACTATTCTTTTCTAAATCCACAGAAATGCCAGATAAAATGCAATAAAGGAAACATTGCTAAGCTCAAACTCGGGCAAGGGAAATGCCCTTGTACTAAGAATAAAGCAGCAATTCAAAATGAGAATAGTAAACAGGAACAGAAGCCAAAATAGTTTAAAAGCTAGAAGCTGATGCACATGTGAGTCATGAAGGTCTACACCTGTGAAACACAGGGTACAAAAACTCTGCCCATAACCTTAGGTGAGCAGAAACAAAGCTACAGCTATGGGTGGAAAAGATTCTCTTGTGAGCAACGAGAACACATTAGAGTGAAATCCAAATTCATCTATCCAGATGGTACAGAGACACTATGCCAAAACTTTAATATGGAAGAAAGCTAGCCTGGAACCAATAAAAACTCTAAGCTAGTAAAGGTAAATTCAGAACCATCCTATAAGGACATTTACCATCTAGAATATATGGGACTCCCTCAAAAAGCAAAGAGATTAAGCAGATGTGAGAAAGGAAAAATCTGTACCATAATAACTAGAGATAACATAAAAATCTAAAAAGATTTTTAAATTAGCATTTTATTTTGGAAAAAAAGCAAGAATAGAAAACATTAGGCAAGACCCAAATATTATTACAAAAGAGCACTGAATTTGAAAAAGAACCAAGTAGAAAGCACATAAATGAAAAACATAGTCACTGAAATTAAAAATTCAATGGATATATGTTGAACAGAATGGACTGAAGAGGGAATGAATGTATTGGAAGATAGATATGAGGAAACCACCTATAAGGAGATATAGAAAGACATGGATCTCAAACAGAATAATGAAAATAAAACCACATCTGTACACATCATAGTAAAACTGCAGAATTTTAAAGGTTAAGGGAATATTTTTTAAACTACCGAATCATTATTTTAAAAGAAAAGAGAAAAATAGTCTACCAGCATGATTATTTAAAAAGCTGAGGGCAGATGTCTCATTAACATCTCTAGATATCAACAGACAATGAAAGAGTATCTTTAATGGGCTTAGAAAGAAAAACTGGCCATCTAGAATAATACGTTCAGATAAACTGTCATTAGAGAACAAGTGCAAAGTAACAAAATTTTCAGAAAAGTTTGGAGAGTTTAAGACTCAGTCTTAAGTGTTAAGTCTACACTTTAGAAAGGAGGAAACTGAACCTGGAAAAACAGAATCATGAAGATTCTGTTCATATTCTGTTCATATCTGATATCAATCATATCAGATACATGATAAATCAAAATTAGTACAGACTATAAAAATAACATTGATGATTAACTGGCTGTGGGTATATTTAAAACAAAAAAGAAAAATAGTATCTCATTTGAAAGACAGAGGAAAACCAAGTTAAAACATTCTAAGTTCTTTCCAAACCAGTAAAATCAAGACAATGAAAATTCATTCAATCCAACAGCAGACAGACAAGGACCAAACAAAGACAACACACAGCAAATAGAAAACACAAAATATAAGACAACTTCAAATAATGTAAATAAATTAAATTCACTTACTAGAAGGAGGAAATTACCAGATTGGTTATAAAAGGAATGCTTTTAAGGCTAAATGACACAGAGTTTGAAAATAAAGGGATGAAAAAAGATAAGACAATATGTAATAATGAAATGAATCAGAAAGATTTAAATCAAATAATATAGCCCTAAACAAAAACAGCCACAAATATATGTAGAAATTTTTAAACTATAATTGTAATTGATGATTTTAATACACTTCTAACAAAAACTAAAAAAGCTAGTATGAAAAAATGGTAAGGATACTATTATGAACAAATTTAATTAGCTTAATCTAATAGATTAGCCAACAGATATTAATAATATACTTTCTGTCAAAGATTACATAGAATATTTACAAAAACTGAACACGTACTAGGCCACAAATAAGTCTCAATACAATTTTAAAAATCCACATCTCATTAATTCTCTGACCATAGTGCAGTTAAAAATAAATTTAAAAACAAAACAGACCAAGAAACAAACAATCCTATATGCTTGGAAATTAAAAAACACACTCCTAAATAACCACTATGAAAATCATAAAATATTTAAAACTAAATAACCACAGAATAAACACATTTCGAAACAGATCCTGGAATATAGTTAACCTATAGTTGGAGAGAAATTTATAGACAAATGTATTTAAAAATAAGAAAAACAAATGAGGTGAAGAAACTAAAAAAATAAATCCCCCACAATTAAAAGAGATCATTTCTATCTTTCTTTCTATAAAGACTAATGAAATTTTTAAAACAGCAAAGATTAGCAAGAAACCAAATCTAGTTCTCTGTAAAGACCAATAAAACAGATAAATCTTTCGGCAAGCTTGACAGAAAAAGAGAAGACAAAAACAAATATTGGAAAACCTCCAAAAGAAAGGATGTATATAGTTATAGATACAGTCAAGATTTAAAACATCAAGAGCAGGCCAGGCGCGGTGGCTCACGCCTATCCTAGCACTCCGGGAGGCCGAGGCAGGCGGATTGCTTGAGGTCAGGAGTTCGAAACCAGCCTGAGCAAGAGTGAGACCCTGTCTCTACTATAAATAGAAAGAAATTAATTGGCCAACTAATATATATAGAAAAAATTAACCGGGCATGGTGGTGCATGCCTGTAATCCCAGAGGCTGAGGCAGAAGGATCGTTGGAGCCCAGGAGTTTGAGGTTGCTGTGAGCTAGGCTGACGCCATGGCACTCACTCTAGCCTGGGCATCAAAGTGAGACTCTGTCTCAAAAAAAAAAACAAAAAAAACACAACATCAAGAGCATACAATTAATTTATGCTAATACATTTTAAAACATATATGAAATGAACACTTCTCTAGAAAACTATCAATAAACAAAAATTATTCTAGGAGCAACAGTACATCTAAATAGATGAATAATCATTAAAGAGATTGAATTCATAGACAAAAGGAATTCCCTTGACAAAAAAACACTAGACTCAGATTCTCTGATTATAAAAACCTTCCAAGAACAAACAAAAAAGGAAAATTATTCAGCTTATTTCATATAGGTAGGATAATTTTTATAACAAAATCAGAAAGGAAAAGAACTAGAAAAAAAGCATAACACCAATCTCATTTTTGTTGCAAAAAATGACATAAAATTATAGCAATCAAATCCAGCAATCTTTAAAGGAAAACAAGAAACCAGAATTGTAGTTCAGTATGTTAAAACATTAAAGGAGGGGGGAAAACATATCATTAACTAATTGGGGGGCGGCGGGCTGTTAGGCAGATAGAGAGCAATTCCGGGTGAGGACTGAACTCTAATTTTTTTTGCTAAAAACTCCTTCCTAAGAAGGCCAGCTGGGTTAGGCTGGCAAATGGTAAGGAGGCCAGCAGGGTTAGGCTGACAAAGGGTAAATTCCCACTAAGCGGCTTTTGTTAACCAAACAAAGCAGTGGTTTACTTCCTGACCTGATTCTGGTATGGCATTAACATCACCTAAAAGATAGGAAGCCCCTGTCTTAACTCAAGCATCCTAGCAGATGCCTATCATAAATTTAAAATATCTTAACTCAAGCATCCTAGCAGGCGCCTATTGTAAATTTAAAATGTCCTCCTGTCTGGACCTCCCAGAGTGCTCATACCCTTATCTTAAAGTAAGCATATCCTTTCTGGTCTTCTAGATAAAGTCTAACTCTCTCAGCCAATTGCCAGCCAAAGAATCTTTAAACCCACCTATAACCTGTAAGCCCCCGCTTCGAGATGTCCCACCTTTTTGGGCCAAACCAATGTATGCCTCTCATGTATTGATTTGTGACTTTGCCTGTAATCCCTGTCTCTCTGAAAATGTATAAAACTGAACTGTAACCCAGCCACAGCGAGTCCACTTGCCCAAGGCCTCTTGGCAGTGGCTCCGGGTCATGGTCCTCAAATTTGGCTCAGAATAAATCTCTTTAAAATTATTTTACAGAGTTTGGCTTTTTTCCGTCGACACGGGTCTCCTAAGGACAAAAGTGGGTGCTGTTGCCTTAGTGTAATTGCCCCACTTGGGAAGAAGGATGCAGGTAGGCCCCAGGCCCTCATTTGGTCCTGACCCACCCTAACCCTCTCCCCTGTAACTGCCATACCTGGTGGAGGAGGGACTACCCTATGAGTCAACCAATCATAACTTAGCATGCCAGCTGCAAAAGAATGCCAAGGACTCTCTAGCCCACAGGCCAAGCAGCACAGGTACCATAGAGTCCAGAAATTGACCTAGAACAACCGCATGCATAGTACTGCAACTCCCAACTGTCCAATCAAAGTGCTTCCATGGTGATGTCTTAGCCATCAGTGAGGTCCGAATCTAAGCACTATAAAACAAGATGCAGACCATAACCAAGTCCCTTTTTTTGCACCCTTCCTTTTGCTCTCCCTTTGCTGAGACAATGAGTCCAGTCAACATCTGTGGCATATGTATCATGCTCTCTAAACCTATATCTTGCTCTTGCCCTATAATCCTACCTTTGGCTCCTCAATAAACCTCATTTTCATGCTTGCCTTGCTTTGGTGTGTCTGGTCTTCTCCGGCCATGAGCACACTAAGAAACGACATTTCAGACTAAAACCTGACGGGGACTTTGATAGACTTAACATTCATTCAAATAAGGAATTAAGGAGAACTTTAAACCTGATAAATAAAAATACACCAAAACCTTAGAGCAAACCTCAAATGTAGTGATAAATTATTAAAAACTGGCTCCTCAAAATTATAATCAAGATAAGAAAGCTCACCATCACTTTTTCTATTCCATACTGCACCAGAGAAAAAAAGACAATGCACAAGAATTATAAAGGGACACAACTATCAGAATTTGCATATGACTGCCTTCATCAAAAATCCAAAGGACTCTACAGAAAGAATAAAAGTTCATCAGGGCTGAAGATCCATATTGAAACAGCCCTTTACAAATTAATAAAGGGGTGTGAGGTGAGAACTGTGGTAAAGGCCTAAACTTTACAAAGGCACAGGCATAGCTAAAAATAATAATGACCAGCCACTGACCCTTTGTTTGCTTTCCTGTATTCCCACTCAGGAATCACATAGCTGATGGTGATAAATATTCTTAACCTTACCCATTGATAACATCACTCTTATAAAACCTAATGCTAGTCTCTGAGATATCTTCCTGGCCCTGCATTCTGGTGGAAAGGATGACCTACCCAGATTAATGGCCCATACTAAGGAACTAAATTAAACTGGTAGTGTGACCCCCCCACCCAAGAACCGACTCAACAAAGATGACAATTTCTACACCCCCATGGTTCTGCCCAAACCTAACCAATTAGCAAACTCAATTGCCTAGCCTTCTGCCCACCAAACTGTCTTTAAAAACCCTTTCTACCAAATTTTCAGGGAGGTGGATTTGAAGAATTCCTCCCATCTCCCTGCTTAGAGCTCTGTGAATTAAGCCCTTTCTCCATTGCAACCCCACTGTCTCAGTGTATTGGCTCTTCTCTGCGCAGCAGGCAATACAACCTGGTTGGGCAGCAATAATGTCTATATAAATATAGATGTGTAGCAACAACATGTAAAAATCAATAATGTTCCCACATACAACCAATTAGAAAATATAATCAAAAAAAGCCACTCATTATAGCAACAAAAACTATTCCACATGTTTAAAAAAATTATATATGTAAAACTTTTATGTAGTGAAGTGATAAAAAGACCAAAAAAAAAAAGCTGTATAAATGGAGATGTAGCATATTTGTGGAAGCTAAGATTCAATAGCATAAAGATGTTAGTTATTTGCTAATTAATCTATAAATCCAATGTAATTGGGTTTTATGGGGAGGCTTCCCCTACCATTTATGATATAATTTTATAGTTTAGCTCTCTGGTTTTATAATACAGGCCTAAAGCTTGGAAAACAACTTGAGTGATCAGCATCTTCCTTAGTCTACCCTCTCAAATAGTAATTATTTCCTCCAACTCTCTGACAGGAGCTGAATTGCAGAAGATTCTGGATTGAGGTCCCTGGGAAGTACTGTGTTCTATCTATTGAATAGATAACCTGATATGTTTAATACTAAAACAACAGGTGGTAAAATTGATACCATACTCAGTTATAAACTCATAATCTTGCTTATAAGGATGGCCAGACATTTTACTCTTCTGCAAGGCACAGAGTGCTCTACCAGATTTAAGTAGAGCCAAGGAGTTACTCTATTCGTAAGTCTCAGATTCGCACACCTCAGGGTACAGATAACAGAACAAGTAACAATTGGCTACCATTACCATAAAACAAATCCTGCTAGAATAGAATAGTTATTGTAGGTATCTCACTTTAAGCAGGACTATATCCCCAACTGTAAGGGATGTGGGGAGGCCACTAAACAAATGTCAATGATCCCAATTTATAATCCTCTCCCTTAACTATCTGACCTTTTGAGTTGTTTCCCAGAAATAGTGGATTTTCTGCAAGACGAAGGCTGAGATTCTGAAGGCCCCAGGGTAGACTTCCTGATGACTCACCATCCCCTACAACCTACCTCCAATACACAGGACCTGCCCCAAGGCACGTGGCCCCTCCTTTAAAAGCCCACGAACTCCCTTAGTCTGAGAGACAATTTTGAAGCAGCTTCTCTCATATTAAAAATTCCTTTCATCCTTGGCAATCCTCCTTGTCTCAATAATTGGATCTTTGTTCATTGAGCAACTAGACCTAGATCAAAACCCCCTTGCAGTTTTGACAAGACAACAACACACCAGAGCCAGGCACAAAATATACTGTCAAATAATTAAACAAATTAACCTAAGCAATTCAGGTATTTAATAGCACTTGGGTTAATAGTAATGAGGATAATCGGTTTGGTTCAGTCACAGCTGATACAGAGCTATGTATGGACAACAGAGTAAGCTGAGTAAGTACACTTTTGAACTGGGATAATTTGATCAGAGAAGAGGATTATTACCTTCTTATTTGCTGTGATAAATTGGTTTGTGTACTTGATCTAAAACAGCCCACTTCAGTTTTAATTTTAAATATGCTTTAATTTTAAATATAGATCATATGGTAACCCTATGTTTAACCCTCTGATTAACTGCCAGACTGTTTTCCAACTTCGAATTAGTTACTTTATATTAAAAAGAAAAGAAGTGTTAAAATATACTTTTTTGTAAGGTGTATATACGATGGCAAACGTGGTCTCTGCCTTTGTAGAGGAGAGAGCCAAAAAGTGAACTCACAAATAAATGCATTGCAACAAATTATGCCAATTAAAAAGAAAACTCAGTAAGAATGAAAAAGAACAACAGGGGAGCCTACTTAGCATGGTTAAGGAAGACCAATTGGCATTATAGATAGAAGACATGTGTGATTGCCCTCAAGGAACGAGAAGGAAAAAGTTTTAGCAACTAAAAGGCCACTGAGGCTGGAGAGTTTTGAGCAAAACGGAGAGGGCACAAGATCAAATAAACGAGTAGGCAGGAAACAGATGTGTCAGAGCTTTTGAAGTACAACAGAAAACTACTGTAGAGTTTTAAGCAAAGGAATGACATAATCAAAATAAAAGATTATTTTGGCTGCTGTGTGGTAACTGGGGAATAAGGAGTGAAATGGGCTAAGAACAAAAGCACCTGTTGTGATGATCGTTTTAATTACAATGAGAACACACGAAGAAGAGAAATTCTCACTGCCACCAAATGAGGTTGCGAACCATAATTCGGTTGCACTGAGAAACAAGCTTTCAATCTAGAAACCAAACATAAAGGAAATTCGCATAACGTAAACTCCAACGAAACTGCAATTAAACGCAACTAGAAATTAAGCTAAACTAGAACCTTAACTATTCCAGCTACCCAAACCATTCCCAACAGTATCAATTTGTTGACGAACATGTTTGCTTGGGCTAAAGTTTCGCCCCCTTCAAGTATCTTCTAAGACTCGGGCGCGCTACTCAGGGCAGATGGGGGGGATGATGGGAAAGGAATGCTGGACAGTGAGTGCCCCGAATATCCAGCCAGGCTCTAGGGAAAGTACTTATAAGCAGCCTCATTTAGATGAAAGAAAGAAGGAAACGCTCAACCGCTGAATTCCTTACTTATATTCTTCCTCCTTGGCTAGGAGGTCCGGTCGAGGTGTAACGGACTTCTGAACGCGTGGCGGGAGCGGAGTCCCTGGGACGCTGCGTTTCTGTAAAAGAGGCAGAGACTTTTAGACTTGAAGTTAAAGGAGGTTTGGCGTCCTCAGTCTCCTGGAACCCAGTCGCTACCCAGGAGTCTGGAGTTGAACTGACTGACCCTCAGACCACGGTTTCGCCCAGCCATCTTTCCCAATCGCCACACGGTTACCGAGGCAACGGCGCGTCTTCCCGCGAGAGTTTCCACATCCCAGGAAGCCTCCCGCGAGAGCGCCAACTGCTTCCCACTCCCTGGCTGTGGGCAGGGAGCTACGTTGGGCTGGAGTAGGGCCTACGGGCTGAACGGTGGCATCCTCCGCCGCTCGCTGGAGTCCGCACTGCCTTAGGAACCCAAGAAGCCATCCTTTGACTTAGAGCCGGTGCCAGTTTTCAACTTGAGGGTGGAGGGATTTCAACTAAAGAAGGCAGGTTCGTTTCTGCCACTCCATAGAAAGCAAGCTCGTGGAGCCCACTGCCCTGTTGTGCTTTTCCAACCATTAGTGGCCATTTGGACTCCCACCCTTTTTGCTTAAAACGAGCTCTTCGGTGGAATTCTAAAGTTCTGATTTCTAGCTTTTATTTACAACATGCATGGTTAAGAGCTCAGGCCCTCTCAAATCAGTCAGCCTAAAGTTTTACCCTGGCTCTTCCACTTAACTGAGATATATGGCATTGGGCAAATCACTGTGTATATCTCTACTACTTCATTGATCAAATAAGACTAAGAATAGTGCCCACTTCACAGTTCTGTGAGGAGTAAATGAATTCATACCTGGAACGGAGTACTTAAGTAGTCAATAATTGCAATTGTTTGGGATCTGGCACCTAAGATCACTTGGCCATCCTGACACCCTCCAGTTGTTTTGGAATTAAATTGACAGTCCAGAAATAAACCTTCACATATGGTCAACAGATCTTCAGCAAATGTGTCAAGACCAGTCAATGGAAAAAGAGTAGTCTTCAACTGAATATTCACATGCAAAAGAATGCAGTTGGACCCTTACCTCACACCATATACAAAAATTAACTCAAAATGGACCAAAGACCTAGACTTAAGGGCTATTAATAAAATTCTTAATGGTCTTGAATTAGGTAATAGAGTCTTGGATATGACACCAAAAACATAAGCAACAAAAGAAAAATAGATAAACCAAACATTAGCAAAATTTAAACTTTTTGTTTTGAAAGATGCCATAAATAAAGTAAAAAGACAAACCACAGGAAAGGAAATTTTTGCAAATTATGTATCTGATGTGACTTGTGTCTAGACTATATAAAGAACTATTAAAATTCTTTATATTTCTTAAATTCTTTATATATTCTTAAATTCTTTAAGATAACCCAAGTAAAAAATGTGCAAAAAGGCTAGGTGCAGTGCCTTAGGCCTGTAATCCCAGCACTTTGGGAAGCCAAAATGGGAGGATCACTTGAGGCCAGGAGTTTGAGACCAGTCTGGGCAATGTAGCAAGACCCAATCTCTACAAAAATTTTGAAAATTAGCCAGGTGGCATACACCTGTAGTCCTAGCTACTCAAGAGGCTGAGACAGGAGAAGCACTTGATCTCAGTAGTTCGAGATTACAGTAAGATATAATCACACCACTGCACTTAAGCCTGAGTGACAGAGGCAAACCCTGCCTCTAAAGAAAAGGAGGGGGAGGAGAGTCTTGAATAGGAATTTCTCAAAGAAGATATACAAATAGCCAAAAGCACATGAAAAGATGCTCAGTATCATTAGTCCTCAGGAAAGAAAATTAAAACCAAAATGAGATAGTACTTGACACCCACTAGAATGGTTAAAATTAAAAGGATGGACAATAACAAGTGTAAGGGAGGATGTGGAGAAATTTGAATCCTTATACACTGTTGCTGGGAATGTAAAAATTGTGCAGCCACTGTGGAAAACAGTCTAACACATCCTCAAAAGTTTACACATAAGAGTTACCCACTCCTAGGTGTACACCCAAGAGAAATGAAAACATACCCACACAAAAAGTTATACACAAATGTTTATAGCAGCATTATTCATAATAGCCAAAAAGTGAAAATAACTCAAATGGTCACAAACTTATTAGTGGATGAATAAAAAGTGGTATATTCATACAATGGAATATTATTCAGCAATAAGAAGGAATGAAATACTGATGTATACTACAATATGGATGAACCTTGAAAATATCACTCTAAGTGAAGGAAATCATTCACAAAAGACCACATGTTATCAAATTTCAATCACAAAAGACCGCATACTAGATGATTCCATTTCAATATTACCACATATTATATGAAATTTCCAGAGTAGGCAAGCAGATTAGTGGCTGCCTTGATCTGGCAGATGATAGAGGATTGCCTAAGGGGTTGCAGAGATTTGGCTGGGGGTAGAGGGGTGGGTGTAATCAAAAATGTTCTAAAAATGATTGTGTTATTGTGTTGATGGTGGCACAACTCTGTGAATATACAAAAAGCCAATGACTAGTATATGTATGTGAAGTACATCACTCAAGCTGTTACTTTAAAATTATAAAAATTATTTAAAACATCAATGGATAGAGAAATGAACACAGTACTAGCATTCATCATAAGGAAGCTGGAGTATCTATATTAACTGCAAACAAAGATGACTTCAGAATAAGGAAAATTATCAGGGACAAAAAGAAGAGCATTATACAATCTTAGGGTATATGCACCAAATAATAGAGTATCAAAATGCATGAGGCAAAAACTGAGAGGAATGTGAAGAGAAATAGAAAAATCTATTATTACACTTGGAGACTTCAACACTACTCCTTTACTAATTGATAGTTCAAGCAGGCAGAAAACCAGTAAGAATATAATTGGCCTGAACAGCACTATCAATTAACTTAATCTGATTGACATTTATAGGCTACTCCATTCCACAATAGCAGAATACACATTTGTCTCAAGATCACAAGGAACATTCACCAGACAGACCACACTCTGGGTCACAAAACACACTTTAAATGTAAAAGAATAGAAATTATATTAGCTTAGAGCAGCTATAACAAAGTATGACAAATTGAGTGGCTTAGAACAACAGAAATTTATTGTCTCGCAGTTCTAGAGGCTAGAAGTCCAAAATCTTGGTGTCAGTGGGACCATGTTCTCTTTGAAATCTGTAGGGGAGAATCTTTCCTTGCCTCTCCCTAGCTTCTGGTGGTATCTGTCACTCCTGGGCTTGCAGCTACCTCACTGCAACCTCTGTCTGCCTCTGTAACGTTATAGTGTTCTCCCTTTGTGTTTCTGTCTTTACATGGCACTTCCTCTTTTCAGAAAGACCCTAGTCATGCTGGATGAGGACTACCTTAATGACTTCATCCTAGCTTTATTACATCTGCAAAGCCTACATTCACAGGGACTGGGGGATTAAGACTTCAACATATTTTGGAGGGGAACACAATTCAACCTATAACAGAAATCATGCAAACTACGGTCCTAGGCCACAATGCAATTAAACAAGAAGCCAATAATAGAGAAACAATTGGAAAATCACAAAATATTCAGAGGTTAAAGCCATACTTCTAAACAAGACATAGGTCAAATAAGTATCTAGAGAAATTAAAAAACAGTTTCAACTAAATGAACATTAAAATACAACTTACCAAAATTTGTGGGATGCAATCAAAGCAGTGCTTAGAGTGCTTAGCATTAAATGCATGTATTGGAAAAGAAGAAAAATCTAAAATCAACAATCTAAATTTCCACCTTCAGCAACTAGAGAAAGAAAAAAATTTAAGCTTTAAGAAAACAAAAGAAAAGAAATGATAAACATTAGAACACAAATCAATGGAATTGAAAACAGGAAAGCAATAGAGAAAAATCACAGAAGCCAAAATCTGGTGTTTTTAAAAGATCCATAAAAAATCAATAAAGCTCTAGCTATGCTAACCAAGGAAAAAAACAGGGAAGACCCAAATTAGCTGTTCTATGTTCCTTTATGTGATGGAGAGTCAGGTGTGGCTATGAGAGGAGATGCAGGAGAGGTCAGGAAAATAAAGTTTATTATCTTCATAGGTCTTAGAAACAAGAGTCATGCCACATCACAGAGCAGTACATTGGGAAGCCTCAGGGTGGTCAGGAGGCAGAAAACAGGAGCAAGAGGAAAAACTAGACTAGACACTTTATTGGAGTTTCCACGGTAAAAGCAAGGCAGGGCAGAGTAAATAAATTGGGATTGGCTAGTTTTAATAATTTCAGAGGGCCTTCAAGTATAGGGGCTGTCCCTAGTTGCTTGGTACCTGGCTCTGGCATGATTAAGACTGAAGAATATTGCTTCCTGGGGTCTATGGGCCAGACACAAGAGGTATGACGATGGATTGTTTACTTTGCATATCTAAGGCATGCTAACTGGCTGATCCTTTTTGCTATGAAAAAGAACTGGCTTGCCCCAGGAGAGGTAGTTTCTTCCTAACCAGGAAAGCTTTTTTAAGATGTCAAAACATCATATACGGAAAATTTAAAATATAAACAATATAATACCAACCTTAGAAATGGAATAGAAATCATTAATTATCCCATGAACGATAATAAAGAACTATTATGAACTCTATATCCACAGATTTAATAAATTAGATGAAATGGACCAATTCCTTTGGTAGTTGAAAGATACCAATTACCAAAATTCATGCAAGGAGAAATAGATAATCTGAATAGGCAAGGATATTGAGTCAGTAACCTTCCAACAAAGAAAGCACCAGACCCAGATGCTTTCTCTGGTGAATTCTACCAAACATTTAAGGGAGAAATGATACCAATTCTATACAATATCCTCTAGAAAATAGAAACAGATGGAACAGTTCCTAACTTATTTTATCAGTGCAGCATTTCCCTACTACTAAAGGCAGTTAAAGACATAAGAAGATAAAATTACAGATTGTTACCTCCCATGAACATAGATGAAAAAATCCTTAACAAAATTTTAGCAAATATGAATCCAACAATGCGTAAAAGAATTTGCAACATGACCAACTGAGATTTATTGCTGGTATGTAAGGATGGTTCATTATTAAAATCAATCAATGTAATTCAGCACATTAGGAAGATAAAGAAGAAAAAAATCATTTGATCATATAAATTTTTTTGTTCTCAGTAGTAACATGACATCATTTGTGGATTATATAAATTGATACAGCAAAAGCTTTTGACAAAATCCAACATCCTTGATAGTACAAACTCTCAGAAAACTAGGAATAGAGGGGAATGTCCTTAAATTGATAATGAACACCTACAAAAAACCTACAGCTAACATCATATTTAATGGTGAGAAACTGGATGCTTTCCCCCTACAATTAGGAACAGCATAAGGGTGGGAGGGGGAGGAGAGGATAGGTGTATTCACACCTAATGGGTGCAGTGTGGACCATCTGGGGGATGGACATGCTTGAAGCTCTGACTTGGGTTTGGTAAGGGCAA